TCTAGCTCTCTGGAGATGGCTGTAATGTTGGGAAAGATGGAAGGAAAAAGAAGAAGATGACAACTAGCAGCAAGGTGGATGGACTTGATTACAGTGGCAAAGGGTGCACCATTGGAGGATCTGAAGAACCAGGTTGGGGACAGATGATTCTGGAGAAGATCTGTGTGATTGCTAAAATTCTACACCAACTTGATGGCACATAATCAATTATAATCAATCAATGAAATATAAGGACATCTAATTTTAAAAAATTGACTGTAAATTCACTCTTTTTGAATTAGGCTTTGAAATGAAAAAGTAACTCCTTTGTCACATGTTGGTACTAGAAGCAAATTGTCTCTGGTCCTAAACAGAGTGCAGAGACTGCCACTGAGAACCCTCCTCATTTCCAAGGTTTTATCTGAGAAGTCACCATCAAATGAGAGAAGATAGGATCAGCTTGCCAGAGAAGTCTTAGGGGATGATTCTTATTAACCAAATACTCTGAAGCTAATGCTTTTTTTTGGGGGGGGGGAGCAGAGAAAGGGGTAGAGCATAAAGTAGGAAATAAGCTCATTATGCATAATGACTTCCAGGAGAATTCTTTTTGAAATCTCTTCTAAGCTGCATTTCTGTGTTATCCACTTGGGGGAGTCTGGAAATTCTTTAAATAAGGTCTGTGTTTACAAAGTTTAGGTTAAAGTACAAATGGCACTGGTTATTTTAAGCTATCCTTCAGTGTGAAGGAGGAACCTACACTGCTTGGGATGGAAGATGTTGTAGTCCAGCACACCCGGAAAATGATACACAGCAAAATGTTTGTTTCAAATCATTGCCCTGGCTATCGTTCCCTGGGTTTAATGGGTAGGGAGAGAAGAATTAAAATCTGAGCCAAGTACTGGCTTTTGGTGTTATGAAAACACAGAATCACCATTTTGAGGCACCAGCAACTGAAGCCACTGGACACAAGGTGCTAGTTCAGTACAGGAGAGATGAAACATATAACCTTAAATAATGGGTATAACTCATGTTAGAATTTGCTACCTCTACTATAGCTTACTGCATGAGTGATCTTATTAAAGCCAAGCACATCTTATATGCCACTTATGGAAGAATGCGTTTTGCACTGTATTTGCACTGAGATGTTAACATACATTTCACAGAATCCTAGAGTTGGAAGTGTTCAGAGCGGCCATCCAGTTCATCGCCAACTCAGTGTAGAGCTTCTCTGACAAAGGGCCATTC